TGTTCCACCATCATGCACAATAACCAGGAATGCAACTACCACACAAATCAGGAGTTGCCTGTAGTTACAGAAGAGGCAGAAAGGCCTTATTTCAAAGGGGTCCTCCTTTCACACCAATTAGAGGCAGAGAAGATGGAGATACACTTTCCGTGCAAACTGGTCGTGTTTACTGTTCTGATCGGCTTGTGCTACTGACCAACCCATGCTGTTAACTTGGCTGGTTCATAAAGATGTCATGTCACTGGCTTAGGTAAAGGGACCCCTGACCATTAGGTCCAGCCATGGACGACTCTGGGGTTGCGGTGCTCATTTCGCTTTACTGCCCAAGGGAGCCGACATACAGTTTCAGGGTCACATAGCCAGCATGACTAAGCTGCTTCTGGTGAACCAGAGCAGTGCACAGAAATGCTGTTTACCTTCCTGCCAGAGTGGTACCTATTTATCTACTTGCACTTGATGTGCTTTCGAACTGCTAGGTTGGCAGGAGGAACTGCTAGGTTGGCAGGTAGGGACCGAGCAACAGGAGCTCACCCCGTCGAGGGGATTTGAACCACTGACCTTCTAAATGGCAAGCCCTAGGCTCTGTGGTTTAACCCACAGCGCCACTCGCAACCCGCCACCTGCCACTGGCTTAGCTGACATGTAATGGACAACATGGCAATAATTGTACGACAAATGTGATGTGCTTTGTCTGATTAACTGGGTGATTGTGAGGTGGCATAAAAGCTGAAAAGACCCTGTGTTCGTTACAGTTCCCGTCCCTTTATGGAACCGTCCTTTACCACAATACAATCAATGATGATGGGTATTGTCTTGTTTGAACATTGGTTGCCTTTTTACTTAATAAATTCCCTACCTGAGAACAAACTGAGAGAGTTGCATAGTCGCCCTGGACAGGCGATACAAAACAAGATGGGCATTTCCCACTAAGGGGCCATTGCCCAGGGCTGGAGGATTTGTTTTGCAAGTGAAAGATCCCAGATTCAACCTTCAGGTAGGGCTGGGAGAGACTTCTGCCTGAAACCCAGGAGAGCAATCACTGCCACTCACTGTTCACAGTACAAAGCTAGTCGACCACTGATTTGACTCACTGTAAAGCAGCTTCCTGGTTAAGCCAGCACTTTGTTCACAAATGGGAGGACTAGAATCTTGCTTCATATTTAGGGATGGACCATAGCTCAGAGCATCAAGTCCAAGGTTTGATCCCAGCATCTCCAGATAAGGTCAGAAGAAACCTCGCTCGAGAGCTGCTGCCAGCCAGTGGAGACAGTACTGAGATAGATGGAACAATGGTCTAACCTGGTATAAGGCAGTAAAGAGGATACCAATGTTCAAAGACGCGGCATTATTTAGGGATTACCTGGAGCAACACTCAAGCAGCGGAAGGATTTGAAGCCTGCTGGCTGCTACAAACAGGTCTTGGGCCATCTCCGGCACGAGCGCAATCTCCTCCGTGTAGTAATAGTTCACCACAGCTTGGACAATGGAGGGCTCCATGTCTTGCAGCAGAACCTCTCCATCCTTTGACTCCCGGAAGGAGCTGGAGAACATGGCTCGGAAGTAGGGGTTGATGGCAGCAAGGAGCATCCTAAACAACAGGGAGGGAGGGATGTGTTGACATTAGGAGGTCAGGGTATCAATCTCTAATTCAGCATTCCTTAGCTACCTTGCACCAGGTGGAATCTCTGTCAGCAAACTTGGGCTACCTCACTGCTCAACCCCAAACCATTTATGAGCGAGTTTAAAAGCATTGACTCACAGTGTAGACAACCCTGATCTAGATAGACCAAAGGTCTGACTTAGTATAAGGCAGTTTCTAATGTTCCTGTGTCTACCAGCTCCTGTATTTTGTTTCTAATTATTGCAGTCTCTTGTAGCCTTGGGGGGGGGGGAGAATGATGGCCCCACTTCTGCCAGTGTGGTGTAGTGGTTAAGAGCGGTAGTCTCGTAATCTGGGGAACCGGGTTTGCGTCTCCACTCCTCCACATGCAGCTGCTGGGTGACTTTGGGCTAGTCACACTTCTTTGAGGTCTCTCTCTCTCTTTTTTTTTAAACAGATATTTATTGAAATTTTCAAAAAAATCCAGAAAAAAGAAAAAAGAAAAAAAGAATTAAAATCACTCAACGTTTACATTCCTTATTTTCAATAACATATTTCCATGACTTCCCCACGCCTCCCCTTCTTCCATTTCCAATTGTTAGTTCAACAAGTTCTTGTCCCCAATTTTTAACCTTATTATATTTAGTTCATTATTATATTTAATTCATTTTATGTATCCAATTTTAACTTATATACATCAGTCTTTATACGTCAGTACTCCTTCTTAAAACCTTTTTCTAAGGTCGACCCAAATTCCCTTCCACGAATTCCCCATTTTTATACTAATAACAAAACAAAACAAAAAGAATCAGAATATAATTGTACACCCTTTGGATTCCCAAACCCCACCCCCCCTTTCCCGGTTTCGATCCCCAACAAATGTCCATCAGTCTATCTGCTATCAGCCTGGAGACCTCACGTCCGAGGCTCTTAATTCTCTCTCAATTCCTCTCTGCCGGTTTTTTTGATAGTCCTTTGTATTAAACACCAAATCTCGGAGAAGCTCTGTCCCAATAATGTCCATATTTCTTCCAGCCATACCTCCATATTTAAAAGTGGAGCTCAAATCTTGTTTCTTAATCCTTTTAAGTCCAAATGTCCCAAAAGCTCCAGCTTCCACCTTGATCAAATTTGTAATCCATAGGTCTTCAGATCTCCACAAAAGGAGATCTCTCCATTCTTCATTCTTCAATTCAAACCAGATTTTCATCATCCAGTTCTTATTTTCCTTTGTATCCATCTTGACAGGCCTCTGGCTCTCCTTTGCCATCTGCAGCATTGCAGCCCCTCCTTCCTGTTCCTCCTGATCAGCATATATCTCTATCTCCACTTTCTCAAATTTCTCAGATTTCTTTTCTTGTTCAGCTGCACGAACTTTTTGAGTCAAGTCCTTATCCAACTCAGTAAGTTTATTTACTGTTGACTTCAAAGTTGTGACACTTGTAGCCAAAACATCACTTTGCTCTTGCAACTTTCCCAAGAGAAAAAAAACCTTGTCCAGTTCAGCCTGTATTTTTCCACCTGCAGCCATTCTTGTAATGTCCCTGAACCCCCTCTAGAGGGATTCTGGTTACTTAGTATTCCTTCCAGTTCCAACCCAAAAGTCAAGTTAACTTGTTTCAGTTCTTCTTTGTTTTCAACAATTTATAACTATATTGTGACAAATATAACCAGCAAAGACAACAGAAACAAAGTTCTCTATTTTTTTCCAGCTTTGACAGCTAGTTTGACAGCTGTCAAAATCTTCTATGTCTCCTCAACAGGCTCTCTCTCGCGGATCACTCCCGGGTCCCAGGGGGGTGGCACTTCAGCTTTCAAAATTAACTCTTATCCTCCAGCAAGATTACTTATACTGCCAAATCGTGAAATTAATAACTTTATCCACTAAAAAAGAAGATGTTCTCTCGACCTTAGTTATCTAGTCCTTGCTTCAAGTTGTTTACAAGGCGGGGAGATGGACTTCCTCTTTGCGCCTTCCCCGATCGTGCCGAATTCAAACAAAAATTTTCCTTTTATAAATCCGATTTCCGTATTACTCACGGGTTGTTACTTTTAGTCCAAATGTTCAAAGGAAGAAGTCAGCGCTCTCCGACCATGGCATGCGGCTTCACTCCGTAGGAGAAGTAGTCGACTCTCAGCACCACGCCGCTCCCCGTCCCCCCTTCCGAAGCCTTTAAAAAGGCTCCTTCTCGGGTCGGGGGGGGCGCAAATGGTGCTCGCCAAGTCACCAGGTCCACAGGCTTCAGCGCCTGTGGTTTCTTTTTTTTTTTTTTATAA